CAAGTCTGAGGCAGTCTGAGGCAGTCTGTGGCAGTTTGAGGCAGTCTACGGCCAAGTCTGTGGCAGTCTGACGCAGTCTATGGCCAAGTCTGTGGCCAAGTCTGTGACCGACCAAGGCCTGCCAACGAATGGTCATCCACCACCTGGGTGTATTTAGGGCTGTCGTGCGACTTGTCGTAGACTCCACATGAAACGTCCAGATACGACAGAAGACCTAGAGGCGGGTGCTGCGGAGTCGGGCATCAGCCTAGAGGAAAGACTTGGAGATATGAACCACGACAACACAGTTCAAGGTATGTGCGATCTAGAGGCCAGACTTCGACGTATGGAAGACCCGGAGGCGGGTGCTGCGGGTTCGGACCCCTATCCATGCGAGGACCGTGGTGGTCAGTACGACAAATACGATGGAGTCCGATCCACCTATACCGAAGAAGCTCCGGGCGCGGCCCAGGGAAGCTTTGGCCACGGTAGCGGTGTGGCCTCTCCTCTTTCGGCAGTGGATGAGACCGACGAAGGTCAAGGCGCAGCCCAGGGAAGCATTAAGCATTGCGTCCCGTCCAGTCGCGAACATGAGGCGATCGAGCGGGAGCTCACGGATGTGCTCAAGTCGATCAATCGCATCCAGTATTCAGACCCTTGTTCACCTGAAGAAATGATGGCAAGGGATCATCTTCTACGAAAGCTCGAAAACAGGCGAGATGCATATAAGGCTAAACTCATCAACGGCACGATTAACGACCAGGAGCAACTGTGGGATGGGTGTGTAAACCATTCTGTCGATGAGGATAAGCGTTCGAAGTCACTGCAGAAATGTAAGGACGCCGCAACGAAACTGTTCGATAATTTCCGTCATACGACAGAGATTAACAAGAAAGAGAGACGCGATGCCCACGCCGCAGAAATCGTAAAGATGACCCTTCGATTGCACGAAGAAGAAGAAGAAGCTGAACGGGATGAGGCCGATCGCGTCATGCTCCGCATACATCGTAACTCGTTGGCGATGAAGGAACAAATCATTGCGCAAGCAAACGAAATCGATAGGAGTAAAATGAATGATATGGATCGCGAAGAACTCGCGGCATTACAGACTCGGGCGGCGGTGCCGCCACGGGTTCGAAATGCACAAAACGCCAATCACAATTGGAACCAACCCGGACAGACTGAGCGCGGACAGCTTGCCGACCCTCCAGGCCACTCGAGACTGCACAAACAGGCAGGGTATGGATACGGGCACGTTCAAGGCCCTGCTCCAGGCTCCCCACAGCACCACAAGCATCATCAGGTAGGGTATGGACACATGCGCGCTCAAGGCTCCGCTCCACCCCCCTCACAGCAACCCGGGTATCACAACCATGTGCCGTTGTCGAGGTATGAGCAGCATGGACCGACCTACAATGAGAACATACAGCATGGGTCCGGTCATGGTGCGACATATGA